TTTGATATGTATCCAAATCACCCAAAGGGCTGATAGAGACTGGAATGGCCCAGGCTAGCTGACATAGGCACTCTGGTGGCATAGTGCCTAAGGCATTTGACTGCTAACCAGAAGTCTGGTGGTTCAAACCTAGCAGCCGCTCCTCAGAAGGAAGATTGGGCAATCTACTTCTGTAGTGATACTGCCTCAGAAACCCAAGGAGGAATAACTATGAGTCGAATCCGCCTTGATGGCAGTGAGTGAGAGCTGACATAGGATAGGGCCTTGGCCTTGTATTTTTATCAATTCCAAGATGATATTGATATCTATCAAAGTTTAAGAGCCATGGCTGTAATATCTCATCTCCAAAGCCACACTCAACAACTGAGGATGAGGACAGGGAGAGTCAAATTAGTGAATTTCTGGGAAAACAATGCCTGTATTACAAAGTTGTCCAGAAGACATACACACTCTATCAGTCAGGTGAAATAGTAAAATAAATACTCTATTCCCACCATGGACATCCCACCTCATTCTCTACATATGGGTATAGAGCTAAGGGGTCTAACCACAGACAGAAGAAAAAACAAGGTCAGAAATATCGGCCCCCCTTTGAGAGATGGCATCTTCTGGAAGGAGGAAAACAGAGTGGTGGCAGAAATAGTTTAGGATAAGGACAGTAGGTGAGTGGGTGGGAAATGAGGGCAAAAATAAGAAAATAAAAAGAAGTGGATAAATAGAATATATAAGGAGAAGAATTTTTAAAAGAGGAAATTAGAAGAGAAAGGAGAGAGCATTTTAAGGTAGGGTATTTCAAAAATATAACTTCAGGCCATTAAACATGTTTGATGACCAGAGATCTCTAACCAGTGGTTCTCAAGCTTTGATATGTATTCAAATCACCTGAAGAGCTGATAGAGACTGGAATGGCCCAGGCTAGCTGAAAGGTAGAAGAACACTGATACATTCAACAAATATGTATTTGAACCTCCACCCTGTGATAGGCAGTGTGTGGATGCCAAGAATATAACTGTCACCAAAACATGCTCTCTTCCTTCAAGAAGCACACGCTCCATGGGGAAATGGAAGAGAAGATATGAAATAGGACAAAGGGGGAAGAGAAAGGAAGAATGAAAGAGAAGGGGAAAGAGTGGAGTAGGTGGTGATAAGAAATGGAGAAGGGAAACAAATGAGTGAGGAAAAGACAGTAAGAGTCCTGTCTGCCATTGAACCTCACAGCATGTAACCTTTTTCTGACACCCATGATTAAACCTCCTATAGCTCTGGTAGCATAGTGGCTAAGACACTTGCCTGCTAACCAGACGGCTGGCGGTTCAAACCCACCAGCCACTCCTTGGAAGGAAGGTTGGGCAATCCTACTTCCATAGTGATACTGCCTCGGAAACCCAAGGAGGGGTCGCCATGAGTCGGGGCCGACTCGACGGCACATAACAACAACAACAACAATTCTTTCTACCTCTGGTTATAAATCATCAATAAAGCACAATACTGAAATGTCTAATTTACATTAATGAAGTCATCCTGTACTTTATTCCAATTCCTACTTACATGTTAACATCTGTCTGTATATTAATAATCTCACACTTTTTTATTCAGTATTTTACCTAGAGATTTTTTAAATTTTCTTGTTGGGTTTCCTAAACACTCCAATATTTCACTTAATCGTAATGTGACCTCTGCGACCACCACAATGTCGATGTCCTCCATTTTACAGCAATGAATTATTTCATTTATCTGCCACAAAAGATAAATCCACTAAAGAGAGAAAATATATAGCAAAATCAATTAATAATGAATCATACTGTAGAAAAATTCACATTTTTCAAAACGTACTACCTTCCATAAAGTCATCATTTTGTAACTATATGGAAATGTTATACAGGTACCAACTCAAATCCATTGCTGCCAGTTCACAGTGAATTTATAAAACAGATTAGAACTGCCCCATAAGGCTGCCGAAGCCGTAATCTTTGTAGAAGCAGGTTGCTACGTATGTCTCTCACAGAGCACCTGGGGATTCAAACCACAAACATTTTGTTTCGCAGCCGAGTGCTTTAACCACTGTGTCACCAGGGCTCATTATACAAGTACGTTCTCCTTATTTGAAAAAAAAGTTGAGTTGATTCTGACTTATGGCAACCTAGTCTGTGTCAGAACAGAACTGTCACCCACAGGGCTTTCAATGGCTGATTTTTTAGACGTAGATTGGCAGCCTTTCTCCCAAGGCTCCTCTGGGTAGACAGGAGCCTCCAACCTTTGGGTTAGCAGCCAAGTTCATTAATCATCTGCATCATCCCTCTTATTAGTACATCTTAATTATGGATAACATAAAGATCAGTTACCTTAATCAAATATTTACAAATCAATCTGTTCATATAAATTCATAAAGAAGGCTCAATTAAACTGATAAGTTTACCTATCTGTAAGCAAATGACAAATTAAGGATTTGTTGTTTTTGTATATCAGTGAAGATTATCCACAAAGTCATTACCAAAGTAGCTGTTATGATCACTACTGAACAGTGAGGGGAAAACAAGTGGAGGGATGCATTCTTTGAGGATCTACTATGTTTCAGGCTCTACATTAGATGCCTTAGAAACTGTCCTTCTCCAAAGCTTAGCTAATAAAAGTAACCACCATACTTTGAGATCTAAGATGATAAAACAGTATTTACCCACCAACATCACTTTGAGTATCTGATAAAATCACCTCCCTGAATTCTAATGTATCTAAAATTAGGAGGCTGCAGAATCACAGAAGAATCTATTATTGATTAAATATCTTCTCCTAAGCTTCCAAGTTA